GTGCTGGAACGGATCTGGTTTGGTGCTAAGGGAACCCTGGAACTTGACTTCTATTCATCTCGCCTGTGTATCCTGTAGGCGACTATCATGTAAGTTTGGTGTACAGGACAAAGAGAGTATCAGAAACTTACACCCAGAAGTGACTGGGGTCTGGAAAGTGGAAGCCAGTGACCCAGTGAGAGCGTAAACTGTATTTCAGTCAGGGTTGTCCAGAGCAAATACAGTGTGTGTGTGCGTGTGTGTTTTAAAGAGATTTATTTTAAGGACTTGGCTCACACGACTGTGGGGCAGGCAGGCAGCCTGGAAACCCAGGCAGGAGCTGATGCTGCAGTTTGGAGGCAGAATTCTTCGTTTCCACAAAAACTGCTTTTGCTCTTAAGGCCTTCAACTGATTGTATGAGGCCCACCCCCATTACCATAGGTAATCTCCTTTAAGTCAACTGACTGTAGATATTAACCCCATCTACAAAACTCCTCCATAGTGACTCTTTGACTAGCGTTTGATTAAGTATCTTGGTGCTATCAGCTAGCCTGGTTGACACCAAGGCAACCATCACACAGTGATAAGAGCAGGTGGAGGAAGGGGGTGCGGGAGACCTCCCTGTTCAGGAGTGGGGGGTGGGGAGGGGAGGAAGGGGAGTCCGGCAGAGGAGCATGGGGAGGTGTGGCTCCAATGACTGCGTGCAGCTCTGGGCCCGCAGGGGGGCGGGGGGGGGGGGCAGGCGAATGCAGGGGGGAATGCAGTGTATGGGAGACCAGGTGGTGACTTTGGTTCGTTCAAGATGTTTCATAATAAAGAGGGTAAAACTGAGGAGCAAGGAGGAAAGATTTCCTTCTGGTTTGTGCTTTTTGTAGGCCAAGGCGGAGGAAGGAGCCTGTCATGAGAAAGAGAGATGAAGCGGAAGAAAACCAGGGAGAGACGGATGGTTGGACTCCTGATTGGACAACAGAAGAGCTCCTTCCTCAGTAACAGGGCTGTAGACAAAGCCCAGCCTTCACACGGGCAACCGAGGACATCAGGGCAAGCTCTGGCTACAGCAGGCAGGGGCAGGAAGAGGAGAGTTCTACCTGGAAAGCATTTCCAACCCCCTCTCGACCTCCCTGCACCGCTTGAGGCTGGCTTCCATGCACCCAGAGCTCTGGCCCCATTGTTCTGGGCTCCTGAGGTTGGGGAGGACCCGTCTACAGAACCTGTGGCTGCTTCCTCTCCCTTTCCCTGAAAGCAGGATGGGAGCATCGCTGGCTTTCCCTGTTCCGGGTCCCTGCTCTCCCTGCCCAGAGCCCTCCCCTGCGATGGAAGCGGCTCCTTCTCATCTGCACTGGTTCCTAGTGGGCAGTGCTGGACAGCAGGCAGACTGAGTACCAGGAAAGCAAGACCACACTCAAGCGCGTGCACACGCGCGCTCGCACACACACACACACACACACACACACACACACACTGGGAGAACTTAATCTCCCGTTTTTAAAAAAGCAACGGAATATATAACGTGGCAAATTCAGATCATCCCTATACTTACGTTGGGGCTTGTTTTTATTTTGAATCACTTTTTTAAAAATGTTTTAATGTTTATTCATTTTTGAGAGAGGGAAAGAGACAGAGAACGAGTGGGGGAGGGGCAGAGAGAGAGGGAGACACAGAATCCAAAGCAGGCTCCAGGCTCCGAGCTGTCAGCACAGAGTCCGATGCGGGGCTCGAACCCACAGACTGTGAGACCATGACCTGAGCCCAAGTTGTGGACGCTTAACCAAGCCACCAGGGTGTCCCTATTTTGAATCACTTATGGAGAGAGTCACCACAGTTTTTTCCACCCTTAAGGCCTCCAAGGGCTTAATCGAGCCCTGCCCCTCACCCCTCTGCACTAACTTTTCAGAGCTCAGAGAATGTGAAAGCACAGCCGAGAAACAGGGAGTGCTGGTCAGGAAGGGCAGGCCCAACACAAGGGGCGTGTGCGCCTGCTTTTTTGTGCCGCCTGGAAGTTCAAAACATGCTGGAACACGGAAAAGAAAGGTATTTGCCTGAGTGACTCAGATATGTTCCAGCATTTTCCCACAGGCTCCTGCATATCCCAAAATAACTGCAACTCTGGATCCTGTTCCTTGGCATATGATTACATTTGTATAATGTTACAGAACAGTGGGCAAAGTGGCCACACTCACACAGGAGCTGCAGGAATGCACAGTCCCAATGGAGATCCATGCTGCAGAGACAGAAATATAAGCATAGAGACCATGAGAGTAAGAAGTATAGACTCACCAGAACCAACCAGGTCACCACGAGGGGCTCTGGTCAATGTCCACCTTTCATATGGGGAGAGAAAGGAAAGGAGAAAGGAAACTTGCCCACACTTGACGCATCTGGGGACCCTACACACCCATCAACTAATACTGATGCTTATTTTGAAATGTCAGCTTAGCCTTGGAATCATAAGCTCTTAAGTCAAAGGGACTTTCAGGGTCTCCGGGCCCATCAAGGGTGCCTCCGTGCCCAGGTCTGGACAACAATGTGGGAATTAGGAGGTTTCAAAATGGACTGCCTCAGGGGATTTACAGTCTTGCTCAGGAAACGGCTGGAGGCATTCAAACAGCTGGAAGACAACTGGGCCCTGGCAAACAAGCAGAAGGCACGCAGTTTGGAGGAAGGAAAGTCTGAGAAGGAAAGTTCTGTCCAAGTAGGGAAGGGTTCACAAAATGGCGGGCTCAAGGGTGCTCACGGGTGTCCAGCAAGATCTGGACAAGAGGCAAGGACAATCTCAAAGGTGGGAAGGGGCTGGAGGGGTGCAGACCCTGAGACGAGAGGAAATGGGGGGTGCTCTAGAAAGCTCTGGACACCAAACCCAGGTACCTGGGCTGCCAGCATTGAGGCTGCAAGTGGCTTTTGTTGCAGACGCCATTACTTGCTATTTCCAAGTCATTTGCTTCACCCAGGCGACAAGAATAATTTCACAGTATTTTGACACAATATATGTAATTTTAAACGCTCTGTCCTAGGAAGAGGCGAGAGGTTATTTTCAAATTTCTGTGGTCCTTAGATAGTCCTGCCCCTCTTGGCCACCACTGCCCACTTGGTGCTACAGAAGACGGCACACTGTAGTGAGACTAACGTGGCCTGTCTGCTGGGACTGGATTCAAATCCTGCCTCTGCTGCTGGCTCTGCGGGCAAGTCACTTCTGGTCTCCTCACCCACCGCGTGAGAATGTTGAGAATAGCCTACGGTTGTTACATGCCAGGAACAGCTTCCACTGCCTCACATGTCTGAATTCAATTTAATCATCCCCCACTCCCCCATTTTACAAGTGAGAAAGCAAGGAAGGAAAAGGCTATGTGACTTGCCCATTGTCCCAGGACTGTTACAAGAAGCTGTAATTGAACCCAAGAGTTCTTTTTATTATTTTTTTAGTGTTTATTCATTTTTGAAAGACAGAGAGAGACAGAGCACAAGCAGGAATGGGTGGAAAGAGAGGGGGACACAGAATCTGAAGCAGGCTCCAGGCTCTGAGCTGTCAGCACAGAGCCCAACACGGGGCTCGAACTCATGAACCACGAGATCGTGACCTGAGCCGGAGTCGGCTGCTCAACCAACTGAGCCACCCAGGCGCCCCGAACCCAAGAGTTCTGATTCAAGCCTGTGTTCTGAAAATGATGTTCTCTAAAGGGCACTTGGATGGGTGCATAAGCAGAAACCCCCTGACACCAAACAGATACTTAGTGGGTATCTGTCCCCTGACTCCTACAGAGGCCAAGACAGTTATGTTGGCAGGAACCCTGCAGCCAGCTCTACAGGGCCTGTTGCCTCCATCCAGGACCCAGGGACGACCAACACATGCCAGATAATTCCTGCCCTGATACCCAGGTACCATCTAATTTGGATGATTGAAAATATGTTCTAACTACAGCGAAGGTCTACAGGTGTTTAGTGATAAAAATAACGTCAGTCCAATTCATAATCACCCAGGGAAACTTAATGTTAAGGTCCACTGAGAACAGACGCCCAAGTACCAAAAAGAAATGGTCCCATTCTTTATCTTTGGTTCATTTTAAAAACAGCCCAGGAGGCCTGTTTTCCTATTTGCACATTTTCAAGTTTCTAGAATCAATGGTGTGTCATCAGCAGTTTGTACTCCCCAAACTAGTTCACCCAGGAATGATGCTGGCGGGTTCCCATCAGAATGACTTCAGCCTTTCTCAGCGAGCTAAGAGTGGCAACGACACCAGCATGTATTTTTGTGCAGTATCGTCAGGCACCAATATTAAACTCAATACAGTCGTGAGGAATTCGGCACGGGGGCTCTTAAGTCAGCATGCGACAGGAGTTCCAAGGTCTCAGGACTAACCTTCTCTTCCATTTTTGGTCTATGTGCAAGCAATTAAAACACCAAAATCTAGCCCATTCAGGGGCTGTGGTCCTTCCCAAGCTTTCAAAACACACGGGCATACAAAGAGGGATCTTCTACCCAGCGGCTTGAGTAAATCTGATCTTAACCCCAATGGCTTCTAGGAACCCAATCTGGGAAGATAAACCCAGGCTGGTTAGATGACTCAGAGAAGTGTCAGATAAAGATGACCCCAAGGCTCTCACAGAACACATTCCCCACCCCCCAGTGACCTGGACTCCACAGAACACTTTGGTCAGCCTCCGGCAACACCAGGGTCTGATTTTCTCCTGCGCTTTTGAACCAGCCCAGCCCTTCCCCGAGGCCTGAGGGTGGCCCGGGTGAGCAGAGATGCTGCCCGAGTGATCCCTGGGCTGGGCCAATCCTGAGAGGTGTGGCCAGTCCAGTCCCATCACCTGGGTGCACAGCCCGGAGTCTTCCCAGGAAACAGCTGCCATCTGAGGATGCAAAAGTGATGGACCCTCATTCTCACGACGTGGGCCAGGATCCATGTGGATCCCAGAGCCGGCTAGTAAATGTGTCTGTCGCTGACTGTCACTGAAGCCAGGGAGACACAATCTTGATGCTGACACTCCTCAGCACTTCAGAAATCACCAAAAAACACTGTGAGTTTGATTATTACTTTATTTTACTTTTCTTAAATGTTGCATTAAAGTCATCCAGCATACAGATATTCCTGGGCTCCTTGCACATTTTATTCTATCTGAGATTAGGTATTTTAGCTAGGAGATGAAGATCATCCCAACAAAAGAGCAACAATTCCGAAAAATGGGTTTCGTGTTTGTGTGATGGGAAATCAACAGCCCATCCACCAGCCAAACGCCTCCCTCGGTCCAGAGCTGTGCAAAGACGGAGTACAAGCGTGGCTCACATGTGGTGCCCACGCACAGATGGGGCCCCGCCACCAAGCAATGGGGTGAAAGTTCTGAAACGAGCAACTGCTGCATTTGTACAGAGTAAGAATACAGAAGAGCATCATTTTCCTTTTAGCCCTTTAATTAGCGTGTGTGGCCTCCACCCAAGTTACTGCGTACCAAGCGCCTATGAAAAGTAAAAACAAACGGATTCAAAGTCCCTGAAATGCATGCAACTTAAATTCCCTAAAGCACACCGCCAGCGCCCAGTCCCCGGGTCTGATCTGTGTCCAGTGGAGACTACGGTGCCGCCGCGTTACCAGCTGTGTCCGTCGTGCTGCCGGGGTTTGCCGTCGCTGCTTCTTTGGCTTCTGGCGGCTGCTGGGTTTCAGTTTTGGGATCTTCTCCGTTTCCCGCACTTTTCTTACTCTTGTCTGTGGCCGTGGCACCCATCTCCATGATTTCCTGCAGCGGCCGATCGGATTCAAGGGAGCTAGGCTGGAGTTCATAAACCTGGACTTGACCTGGGACATCTATCGCTTTCTGTTCAAGTTTTTCCAGGATGGTCTGAACCTTCCTGACACCATCTCTCCTGGCCTGACGGACATCAGCTCGTCCTTCAGGGTCTACTGAATCCAGGGCCAGTAGCTCTTTGGTCAAATACTCTTCGATCATTAGGTACTTTTTGTCCGTCTTCTTGCCTTCAAAGTTGTCCACGGCCTGCTCCAGCCCTTGCACGTTCTGCAGGATGGCTTCCACTTTCAGCACGCCTGGATGTTTTGGGGGCGCCTCAGCTTCTCCTGACTTGGGAGGTGCAGCCTCTGCAGGGGCGGGGCTGGGGGCTGCCCTCTCTTCTGCAGCCACATTCTTGGGGGACGAGGGGACAGCAGAAGGGGCGGGGCTGGGAGGATGGGGAACCGGAGCAGCGGGAACCTTTACTTCCACCCTCTCAGAGGCAGGTGGGGGCTTCTGGGAAACAGGTTGGGAATCTGCCTCCTTGCGGATCACCTGAATCGGGACGTGTCCAGGAAGGAGATCTGGTCCAACTGGGCCTGGCTTGCTTTCGGGTTTGTTTTCAGGTTGGGGAACAGGTGAAGATTCTCGATGAGTCATGGGCTGCTGAGAGGAGGCAAGGACACAGAGATATTTTTAATAACTGGCTGAGAGTCACAGGCAGTTGTTTGTAGTGAGTACAGACCATAAAGAAAACTGGGGAATGGCTTTAACGTATAAAAGAGATTTTCAAAGTCGACCAAATACTGTCACAAAATAAAAACATATTGATCCTGTAAGGTGACCAAACCATTTGTTTCCATTCATCACCCATCACCTTGGACTGTGTGGGTCTGTCACCATTCACTGAATTTTTCTGTAGATGGTATTCTTATGGCAACGAAAAGAAAACCAATGTAGTATTCAAAATGAAAATATCAAAAAACTCGCTGACTGCTGAGCTAGTTTAGCCCAAAGCAAAGTCCTGGGTGACTCAGAATCTCGGTGGCACAGCCATGGAGGAATGATTGCCACATGTGCCCTTCCTTACACTGTGTGGACAGTTCTGTTCAGGGTGTGACAGTCTCATCTCCCATTTCAGAAGAGTTGTAATCTTTTTTTTTTTTTTTAATGTATATTTATTATTTTGAAAGAGAGGCAGAGCATGAGCAGGGGAGAAGCAGAGAGAGAGGAAGACATAGAATCTGAAGCAGGCTGCAGGCTCTGAGCTGTCAGCACAGAGCCCAACGTGGGGCTTGAACTCACGGACCGCGAGATCATGACCTGAGCCGAAGTCGGACACTCAACTGACTGAGCCACCCAGGCTTCCCTAATCTTTTTTTTTTTTTTTTAAAGCTATGACAGCCTAGCAGTTTCTGCCCAGACTGATCTATTTTTTGAGAATAAGCAAGGTGCCTAAAATAGTTAACTCTGAGGATTTTGCCGCGCACATTTATGCCCAGAGCCAACACTCAGCTGCGCATCTCTGCACGGACTCCTGGCCGCCCATACTTTTTAATGTGACCACAAGCGGTATTTTTTAAAAAGGGCTATGCTTCAAGCAAGTATCTTAGCTTTCCTAGCATCTAGGTGAATACCTCACCCCGCTTCTTTATTATGCGTGTGTCGCTGACACACAGTGTTACACGGTTTCTGGTGTACCGCACAGTGATTCGACACTTCCACACATTACAGGTGCTCACCACAGTAAGTGCACTCCCCAGCTGTCACCACACGTCGCCACAATATTCCCTACGCTGTACTTTTCATCTCTGTAGCTTATCTTATAACTGGAAGTTTATACCTCTTAATGGCCTTCACCTATTTTGCCCATCCCCCCATCCACCTCCCCTCTGACAACCATCAGATTGTGCTCTGCATTTAAGAGCCCGTTTGGCTCTTTGCTTGTGCTTTTGTTTTGTTTTTCAGATTCCACACAGTAGTGAAATCGTATGATATTTCCCTTTCTCCATTTGACTTATTTCACTTAGCATAATACCCTCTAAGTTCATCCACGTTGTTACAAATGGCAAGATTCCATTCCTTTTCACGGCTGAGTAATAGTCCAGTGTGTGTGTGTGTGTGTGTGTGTGCGCGTGCGTGCATGCCACATTTTCTTCATAATGGACACTTGGGCTGCTTCCATATCTTGGCTATCGTAAATAATGTTTCAATACACATAGAGTTGTATACTGTTTTGAATTAGTCTTTTTGCCAAAACCCTTTAAAAATCTCACATACCCTAGGGTGTCTGGGTGGCTCAGTCGGTTAAGTGTCTGACTCTTGATTTCAGCTCAGGTCATGATCTCACGGTTCGTGGGTTTGAACCCCATGTCGGACTCTGCACTGACAGTGCAGAGCCTGCTTGAGATTCTCCCTCTCTCTCCCTCTCTCTCTGCCCCATCCCCCACTGGCTCTCTCTCTCAAAATAAATAAACTTAAAAAAAAAAACAACTGACACCCTAATTCCATGAACTGGGAAATAAGAGATACTAATACTAAAATACTAAATTCCACTATAATGTTTAGTTAGGTCAAATCTTTGCACATGTTCAAAAAGAAATCTGAACAAGCACTAAAAAGGAGGGCACCATAAACAAGGTTATAGGAAGCAGAAACAGGATTAAATATTATTTCACCGACTATGGGAAATATATGGGAAAGACATGAGGGGAAGCTTTTCTAGCACTGCAGATGGGCACTTCTTTCCTGGGATTCCTGAGCCCAAGGAAGGACCTGGTGGCTACTTAGCCATCTGAACGCCAGCAACATCCTTTTCCATCAGATTCTTTTGCCAATGCACATGACCTCAAATCTGGCCCTTACCATTCAGGAACCAGCCACATACCCCTCTTTGGGCTTAAAAGGGCTGGGTATGAAAAATGACTCTTATTATTTTTTCAAATTTATTTGAGAGAACGAGAGAGCAGGGGAGGGGTAAAAAGAAGAAACAGAATCCCAAGCAGGCTCCACACTGTCAGCGCAGAGCCCGACACGGGGCTCAAATTCATGAACTGTGAGATCATGACCTGAGCTGAGATCAAGAGTCAGACGCTTACCTGACTGAGCCACCCAGGCGCCCTGAGAAAAATGACTTTAGAAACTCCTAAGAGGGACTGCTCTATGGCGTGTCCTCTTTGAAAATGTCAAGGTCATGAAAGCAAAGGAAGGCCGAAGAACTGTTCCAGATTGAAGCAGACTGAAGAGAAATGATACCTAAATGCAGCGCTCGTGATCCTAGATTAGATCCTGGAGCAGGAGAAACTGCTTTCAAGGAGATCTGAAAGTGGACTGTGTATCAGCTAACAATGTAAGGAGGTTAAGTGTCCCGATTCTGGTAACTGTACTGTGGTTATGAATTAAAAGGTCTTTCTTAGGGCAATATTTGCTGAATTATTCATGGGTAAAAGAGCATGATATCTACAATTAAATCTCCAACAAAGAAACCACGTGGACGATACATACAGAGAGAAGAAATGGCAAAGCAAATACAGCAAGATGTTAACAGTGAATATGGATGAAGGGTAGACTGGGTTTCTTTGTATGATTCTTGTAACTCCTCTGTAAGGCTGAAATTCTTTCCTATACAAAGAAGCTAAAAAAAGAACCACACGACGGTGCTGTCACCACTTATAGTAAGACACCCTGCATTTGTCTACAAGGGGCTTTCCCTCTAAAAACTGTGGCAGAAAACGAACTCGGCTGCTCAAGGTGGGGTCCCAGGGCTGCTCAAGGCTCTGCTAAGCAACAAGCTTACTGACACCAGCGACCCCCTCCTCCAGGACGTGCCCACGAGTTGCCCCTGAAGAATGAGCAGGTCTGTGCCTGCAACTTCACCAGACTGGAATGTTTCCCAGCCAGCCAGCCGGCTCATCATCAGTCAGGCAACTCGGTCCTTTGCCATCAGGGAGAGAGGTGGAAGACGTGTCCTTGTCATCAAGCTCCGAGCTGAGCTAAACAGGTAAGATGAGCACTTCCGAAATGCACAGAGTGCTCACGGGCCGAGCTGTAAGGGACTGTGATGAGGTGCCATGAGAAAGAGGAGTAGGCTTCATGGAAGAGGCAACACTGGCTTGTCCCCTGCAGGATGGGGAAAACCTGGATCGCGATGGCATCGCAGGGGGCTGGTTCAGCATGAGCAAAGGCACAGAGGCGACAAGAATGGGAAGAGTGGGGGCGCCTGGGTGGCACAGTCGGTTAAGCGTCCGACTTCAGCCAGGTCACGATCTCGCGGTCCGTGAGTTCGAGCCCTGCGTCGGGCTCTGGGCTGATGGCTCAGAGCCTGGAGCCTGTTTCCGATTCTGTGTCTCCCTCTCTCTCTGACCCTCCCCCGTTCATGCTCTGTCTCTCTCTGTCCCAAAAATAAATAAACGTTGAAAAAAAAAAAAAAAAGAAAAAGAAAGAGTGGAGAAGGGGTACCCGTGAGGAGGAGACAAGCCGTCTGGAGCACTGGAGACGAGGCTGCGGCTAGGATGCGGAAGGGTTATGAAGTGCCTTAACAAAGCGTGGTGGGCACTGAAACACTGAGACAGCGTGTGTGGGTGACACTCTACTTGCTGTCCAGCCATTTCACGGTGGCTGAAGTTCTGCCCCAAAGGCAGCCGCACTGAAAAATGAGCAAAAGCTACAGACAGTACTGAGAGTTCCCAGCACTTGTCCTGCACTTCTGCTGGTGATCAGCCATTTCCAGGATCTCCCTTTCCCCCAGTAACACGTGTGTGAACTGGTCACGACCAGTGGAGGAACCAGAGCCCCTGCAAAGAGCTCCTCAGCCCCTGGAGAGGGGCTGCCATAGTCAGTCTGCTGACACCAACTCCATACCTGAGGCCTGTCGACCACGGTGTGTACACGGTGAGGCGAAGGGGAGTGCACCGGTGTGCCGCTTCTGGCCGGGGAGCCCTCCCGGCTGGATGCACCCCGGACGGGAGACCGAAACGGGGACGCTGCCGGCATGGGCCGCGGCTCCCAGTCATCCCCCGGGGCCCTGTGGTACATGGGCTGGTAGGTCTGGTATTCACCCTGCTGCGCTGGGTAGTGGGTCTTCTGGGCTTGGTGGAAGGAAGGCTGGGCTGCCGGCCGGGTGACATTCTGCTCGTGTATCACGGGGATGGGGATGTAGCCCCGGGGGAGCTGGTGGCTGCCCAGGCCGCTCCTGCTGGAGGAGGAGGGCAGGCTGGCCGAGGAGGACGAGGACGAGCAGTCCGAAGCAGCTGGAGACTGAGATCGCTACGAGACACAAAGGGTAGAGGCATGGCTCCATGAGTGACCCTCTACCCAGGTGCTCTAACCTCGTCTCCATCACGTGCCTCCTCAGGGTAACACGTTTAACAGGACCTTCCACCTGTAAACCTTCCACTGCCAAACTGTGGTGCTAGGACTCAGGGCTCTCGAGTCTGGAGTGTTCCAATTCTCACCAGCTCCATCGCCTTCTGAGCCCCATCTACAGTATGGAGCAGATGCCCCTTCCCTCCCCGAGGTGACTAGAAGATTCGGTAAGACCGTCTGTGGATATGCTTCGGCACCTGGGCTGCACGCGGTGGTGCTCAACCTGCTGGTTCTGACTGCTGCCGCACCTGTGGTCACTGCAGGCCACGTCTTTCCTTAACCCTTTCTCTGCTCATCTACAGAGAACGAGCTAAGCACCGGAAGCAGCACATCCCACGTGGCCAGCCCCTGGACCACCTAGAAAGTCAGGCGCGTATTTCCTCAGCTGGCTCCAAAGGGTCCTGTCAGCTCAAATTTGGTAAGATTTCTCTGATGGACGCGTCACTTTTGATTTTGACAACAAAAGTATTACATACATAGGTACTACTCTGAAAAGGGAAAAGAGTAGGGCTGAGGGAGGCAATGCCAACTCTGGGCACAGACACGGAGCGGAGGATTTGTGCTCAAAAACAGTGCCAGTGGATACAGCCGGATAATCTGCAGACAGAAAACCCAGAACGGCTTACTTACTGCTCAGGAATCTTACTGGGGTCCACCGGCCCTCAAATCCCTGGCTAAGAACTAGATTAAGAACCCTTTAGAGTTTAGTGCACTGAAGCACTGGCCTCAGGCTTAAAAATAAAACCCTATCATCAAGCAGCTGACTTCCGGACTCTTTATTTTCGGTTTCCTTTGAAACTATGGGACACGGTGAGGGCAGGCATGCCACCTCATTTTCCCATCAACAGAGCTCCACGCAGTTAATACTCACCCCTAAGTAGGGAACTGAGTGAAAGAACACATTGCTATCCCTGTGGTGCTGACGCAGAAAGCCCAGTAGGAGGAAGAAGCACCGGACTAGGAGCCAGAAGGCCAGGCTTCCGGTCCCAGAAATGCCACACTTGTACCTTTATGCATTTGGACCAAGCTGTTTACCCTTGTGAAGCCCAATTCCTTAACCCCAAAGATAAGCCATGACCCCTGCCCACTTGAAACAGCACAGCTGTGAAATGCGGGGGGGACACCGTGTGGCCGTAGTGCTGTCTTTGCTGGGTGACCTCTGCCGCTGCAGGCCAGGCCCGGATGCCCTGCACTTTAGCCCCAGGGTCCGGGGCCTGCCCCCAAAACACAACAGCCCGCTCTCCTTACCTCAGATCTGTGGGAGCCTGGGGGCTGGGTCGCCGCAGCTGCTGCCACCGCCTGTCCACACTGTTTATCTGGCTGGGTGGCTTCCACCACACCCCGCAGAGGTGACTGGGACCTCTGAGGAGCCTCTGTGGCCGCCTCAGTTCGGAATCGCTGTGTGCCGGGCTGGGAACAGACAAAGGAAGGGCGCGGCTGCCGGCTGTCCACACCCTCGTGGTGGACAGGAATGGCAATGTAGCCTGGTCGGAGCTGGGGGTACACAGCGTGGCCTTCCCTCGCGGGCAGCAGCTTGGAGCCCTCCTGGGAAGGGCCGTTGGCAGAAGACGGTGTTTCCTAAAACACAAAAAAGGAGAAACAGACTGGTTAGGAACTGGGAAGAAAGCACCCCGAAGTGGCAAAAGCGTGGTGCTAAGGGTCCCCATCTCCCAGAGTGATTCTGGGCCCCCCAGCAGCAGCCAAGACGGCTGAGCACAGACAGCTCACAGGCACCCCGTTTCTATCACACATCCCGTCCCCTACACGGCTGTTTATGGCCAGCAGTTTAAGAATTAGGGGCCTCAAGAGAAAGCAGTTGGGCCAAGGTATCCGTTGAGCACCAAGAGGTCCCAATTTCCCAAACTGGTCAGACAGGTTCCTTTTATGGGTGACAAGCAGCAGCAGTTACGTAGGAGAACCACTGACTGTCCCCCAAATCAGAGACCCAGATCAGAAGGTGCGAGGATGACTCAAGTCCAACTCACTACACCACAGCCGGCTTCTCCGCTTCCTCAAAGGTCCTAGCGTTTCCTAACACGGACTTGTGCTGGACCCAAACACAGGACACAGTCGGCACACCTCTGCAGAGAAGCGGCTGTGGGACGAGGCTGCCTACTCGGGGACGTTTTCAGAACAAGCTGCAAGAAAGGGAGATGATGAGGAGTGTGGGGGCAGCACAGGGGAAGAATGAAAGCCGACGATTAATTATGCTGGTCTGAGGAGGCCAACAAAGCCTGCTCTGCTCCGGCGAGGAGTGGCTGGGGTCCCTCTCATGTTCTCGCATGAAGCTGTCCCTTCAGCGGCCTGGCTATTTTGGGACCCTTTGAGAAGGCCAAGTTCCAGATGTACCACAGAGGAAGATCTGGTTTCAAACAACAAGGCCGGTCAGTCACTCACGGGGCAATGTCCTTTCTCACCAAACACAGGCTGGGCAACCAGAGTCAGGGACCCCCAGGATTTCCAGTCTGGACCATCTCCTGGAACACGAGAAGGGCCTTTACAGAGAAGGCAGCTACAGAACTGCACCCCTGACGCACATCTGGGTAGGCTGACTATTAAGGAGGAGAGCTCCCCTTCCTTAAGAAGGCCAAGCTGCAAACAGAGGCAAAGACAGAGGGTCCAGGAGTTTGCAGGGTAGAATTCTCACTGCTGCAAAACCAGTCACAAGGAAGGAAAGCTGAGGGCTGATTTGCATTCTGAGTGATAGACCACTGTGATTTTTGCCTTGTGTTTGTGTTCCTGCACAAGAGTCAGTGGTGGTGGACCCTGAAACTTCGCTCTTTCAGGCCCATCAACTGCTTCCTTCCTGCTGAGCCCCTGCCCCGGGGAGGGCCTCCTGCACACAGAAGAGACAAGGGTGTCGCTGTGTCCTTGGGGACGCCAGCAGACAGGCGCTCTCAGATTAGAATACCCACGTGCTCAGGGTGGCGACATTACTTCAGCCTATTTAGCTCTCAGGTCACCCAAGAGCAGGGAGTGGGTCCAGGCCTCACATTCAAAACCCGATCCCTGCCTGAGACAAGGCACCAAGAGACACCGTGGAAACCCAGTGCTACTCAGTGCTGACTCATAACGCGCCATCTAAGCATCTTATCCCCTCGCTGGGACACCCCTCCTTCCAGCCTGAAGCCGGGGCCTGGACAAGTCCTGGGCATTTTCTGTGCTGGCTGCCTGGGGGCCTCACTGTTCCCTCCCAGCCATGCACACAAGCCTCAGCTGCCTGCACAGTCCTCGAGCAGGGCAGTTAGGAAGCCCTCATCCACCGACCATCTCCCAGTGACCATCTCACTACCCAGGCGCTGGGTACTATGGGGGTCACCAAACTGGCAAGGCTCCATTCCTGCCGACTGGGGGCTTTCGAGACAGTTTACGGCACAAAACAAACAGGAAGCAAAACTACAGGGAAAGCCTGGGAGGCTCTGGGAAGGGGGTGGGGGAAACGCATGGGCTTTTCTAGCTAGGATGGGGCTGTCTTAGCTAGGATGCCAGTTCGGTCTGACCTCTGTGTAACAGTTAGTAACAGTTCTGTGATCTGGGGGAATTCTCTTAGCCTGTGAGCTTTGATGCCCGTACCTAGAAAACGGGGCTAGCGACACCCATCTATCTGGCAGGACTGCTGTGAGGTTTTGGGAGGGCACATCCAAGGGGGGGGATGCCCAGAAGGCAGCAACACATGCAAGTTCCCTCCCCAAACAGGCACACGGTCATGCTGCACAGACCCCAAAGTGTCAAAGGAATCAAAACTGAAGAGCAAAGTTAACTGATAGAAGATTCAGAGTAGTGACTGCCCCGTAGGAAACGGGAGTAACTGGGAGGGTCTTGAACCTTTCCATGAGGATGGAAATGTTCTTTTTCTGCGTGCTGGTAAACAGGTATATGCCTGTGTACAGATCTATCGAAATACACACTTCCCTGAACCTCCCCCTGCCCTACTGCCCATCCCCTGTCACACTCCACCCGCACTATCCGCACTATCCGGCTTCAACAGGTGAGGGCCGCCAACCCCACCGCCCCCACAGAGCCGGCTGTTAGCTGTGCCTCCAACTCAGCCCCTTCCAGGGCCTGGAAACCTAAGATAGGCCTGGCTGAGGCTTGGCGCCTCCTGGGGGAAGCCCCTGGATCCAGACAGCACTGCAGCCGCCTGCCAAGAGCTGTGCATTTTATGCATCTCGCTGAGTATCTTCTGTACAACTAAAAGAGAAAAGGGAAGACAAAGGAAGGAGGGAGGGGAGGAAGAGTATTTCTGCCTGCCCAGAGGAGGTGACAGCAGAGACTACCTCCTGGAGCCAATATTCCTTCCACCTGGGTCTGGGAAGAAGTGCCATGTTTGGTCGGTAAAGGAAAGCTGTGGTCACTGTAGGCAGGATGCGGCGTTCGAGCAGCAGAGGGGAAGAGGACAGCGCATGAAGGTGAGTGCTGAGCTGAAGAAGGTAAGGCTGGAGGCCCAGAGGCCTGACCATCCCGAGAGCTGCTGACGAGAGATGCCTCGGCAAGACGGGAGGAGCCAGAAGGAAAAACCAGGACGCCGCAGGAAATGAGGGGAAGAGTCAGGGACGAGAGCAAGGAAGTGTGGGCAAAGCAGAGCTGAGGGCATGGAAATGAAGGGTGACCCAGAAGGGCGAGCAGGAGAGTGCAGGGAAAGGCTGGCAAGACAGTAGGAGCGAGGGGAAAGGGGCCGCTACCGAGACTCCCGTTCTGAGCCTGGGGCTGCCTGGCAGGTGTCGGTGCCTGCTGGCTTGAGCAGGGAGGCCGCGACAGGAAGGGTGGCCTGGGGACCCTGAGGTTCTGCACTCTGGGTTCTGTCTGAGTTGGCCCATCTATGCCATTCAGTAACAAACCACATGTCTCTTCATGAGCCTCACATCTAAAAGACTGCTTCCCCATGGCACCCGGGTGGCTCAGCTGGTTAAGGCTCCAACTCTTGATTCCGGCTCAGGTTATGATCCGTGATCTCGTGGTTCGTGGGATCAAGCCCCACATCGGGCTCTCTGCTGTCAGTGCAGAGCCTACTTTGGGTCCTCTCTTCCTCTCTCTCTGCCCCTCCTCTGCTCATTCTCCCTCTCAAAAATAAACAAACATTCTAAAAATAAATAAATAAAGGAACGTTCCCCTTCCACTTTGATTGGGGTATTGTTTAGGAAAACACTAGGTTTAGGTAAGCAGAAAAACCATACCAGCTTTACAGAATAGAAAACTAAATGCTTCTACATGAATGCATAATTTAAACCAGAAATGAGGCTCCCGCCTAGAGTAAGGTCCACACCAGGAATACTGAGCCCAACCCATCTTCTCACATGTCTACTCTATCATTAGAGTCTTGTCAGTAGCAGATGCTTCAGTTTTTACTAACTAAAAAAGCACCACATAAAAGAATTAAATTGCCCTTCCTGTACTTCTATGGTGTTTTTCACCGAGTATAAAAAAAAAAAGATAAAACTTAAAACATTTTTCAAGTTTACTTATTTTGAGAGAGAAAGAAAGCATGAGGCAGAGAGACAGAGGAAGAGAGAGAATCCCAAGCAAGCTCTGCACTGTCAGTGCGGAACCCGATGCAGGGTTTGAACCCACAAACCGTGAGATCATGACCTGAGCCGAAGTTGGATGCTTAACCTGATGAGCCACTCAGGTGCCTCAAAATATAAAAATTTAAAATGACAAAAGTAAAAGAAACAAATGTATAACAGTTATGATTCTCCTAGAATATTAGAACATGCCTCCTTAGTCTCCTAAGAAGTCTTTTCACAGTTCAAGCACGTCCAGAAAAAGCCTATTGGTTATGCCAGCATCCTCGACCTAGCACTTGCTACTTGTCCCCCTTCTGACCTCAGTGGGGACCAGGGATCGCCCCTGCCTTGGGGTTAGTCTTCCGGGGAGGGAGGGGTGAGCTGTGATCATGTGACCAGGCAGGCCACTAGAGGTCCTGCCCTCAAAGGTCCTGTGTGTGTAGCTTCTTAAGGAGTAAGGACCAGTGTAGCTCTGCTCACCACCTATATCTTGGGCAAAGACATCAGGAACCCTATATACAAGATCCAATTAGGAACCGCACTGCATTCATTTATAAAATGAATTGGTTAATTTTTCTCCCTTGCTTTGCACTGCAGGAAAATCTTGAGGCATATCTCAGGGCACTAAACAACTCCAGGAGATGGCCAGGATAAAAAGCAGGAAAAATTACCCGAGATGAGTCAAAATTTGCCCTGTTAAGTACAAGGTATTATTATCAGAGAAGCCTGGGATCAGATTCTGAGCTTGGGTGAGCCCTTGGACTTCCGCAAGTCTTGTTTGCTTAAGAGCACGTCTAAACTTTGCTGGTTTTTAATAACAATGTACGCTAAGGGGGCAGCTAAGAGATGTGGAAAGAGACTGCACTTGGTTCTAATCCTGGATCTGCCCCTAAATATGTTTGTTATGCAAGCAGCCCACATCCCCTCTCTGGACCTTAGTTTTCTCAGCTATTAAAATTGAAGGGGAGACCCAGATGCTCTGTAAAGCAGTGGTTCTCAGACTCTAGGGGGCATCAGGAGCACCCAGAAAATGCACAAAAATGCAGACCCCAAGCCCAACTCCAAGAAGTCTGA